TTTCTCCTGTGACATCATGCACACATTGCTCAGGTGTTTTCCACCATACTGGGTGTGATATAACCGTTACTAGAGAAAAATGTGTTTTCCCCGACTGTTTGGCGGTGGTTCTGGAGGTTACTGGCTTTCATCGGGTGAAATCGGTTACAAAGAAGGTGCTGCACAAAAAACCACCTCCAGATTGCGTTGATTACTACCTGGTTGCCTGTAGTTTTCCACGTTTGTCTTCAAACATCCGCTAAGTATTAGGGGTAGTAAAACCTAAAAAAAAAGTGTGACGCAACTGGAAATGGTGAAAGTTTGCCTTCAAGGTATAAAATTGTGCCTTAGAGCTCCAACATGTTTCAAAAGAAAACTTTGACTGTGAAGGCAAATGGTCTCCAGATTATATCCCACTTTTCACTACAGCTCTGAGTAGCTGGACAGTGTTTATAGACAAGTCTATCACTTCCATTCAAACTACCACCTCAGCAATATTCTACCAAAGGGCACGGGTTTTTGCCAACCAGTCTGGAATACTTTTTTTCCCCCTCACGACTGGTGGTTGGCAGCTGATCAACCACCAGTATGACTAAGGCTTTATTCACATGGCTCTAGAATGGCTGACAAGTTAAGCTCATGTGGTTAGTGGTCACATGTCTGCAAAACCTAAATATAACAAAACTCGCATAAAAACAACAATGCAAAGAAATTACACAAAGTTAAAAAATTGTCACAGATCTAGTTAGCCTCTACACGGCTCGAATATACCGATTAAACGAAGGCATATTTTTTTACCTACATTGAAAAAAAGCCTTATAATTTAGCAACTATAATTCTTGTGAGTGTGGTGTGTATTGTCAGCATATAGCAAGTACCATATAATGGTTTAAAACACCATGTTACATTTGACCTCTGACCTCTCCTTCAGTAGATTGATCTGAAGGTCAAAGTGATAATAATCCTATATAGAATTATTTAAAATGACATCAAGTGTTCAAACTGATAAGAACATGTTCATATGGGATGCTCTGTAAATATCGTTTATTTATTTTATTATGATGTCATTATGTACAGTAACAGGTTTTAACCGTTTAAATACATAACACTTTGACTACGTGTACAGGGTTCCCCAATAAGAATTTTTTGGGGAAAACAAACTTGTCCTCAAAAACTTTTTTCACTTGATATTTCTGCCAAAAATGTAATTGAATTTTAATAACTGCAAAATGAGCATGACACATGTAACATATACATAAATAAAAAATATACACAAAATTATGGAAAGTAGACTAAGGGGGAAATAACAAAAGTCCACACTTTGTACTTGTTTTTACTGCACTGCAAACCTCTTGAAGTATGTTTAAAAAGAACAAAGAAAACAGGATGGACAATGTACAAAATACAATACTGTTCCTATAAAAGTAAATACTGCCCAGAGAGTGAGACACCTT